TGGCCCTGGGCAGCCATGGGAAAATGGTCTTGATTCTCAGAGCACTCTGGGGGTGACAGCATCCCTGGGTCACCAGGAACCGTGTCACCAGCCATCCCATTTGTCCATGCCATCCTTGGGGTCACAGGTCCACACTTCCCCTCTTCCTGTCCTGACATTTCCTCTGGAGTAGCACTGTGACTGTCACTCAGCAGGACTGTGACAGATGTACGGGGACATCAAAGCATCAAGCATGCCCCACACTCAGCTTCTGCCTCCTCCCACTGCCATCCTTGCTTTGTGCATCACAGACTTGATAAGGACATAAGGACCTGACCAATACCCCAGTAAGGTGGTGGGAAAAATTTTTCATGGCTGATACTCTCCTCAAAAGTGCATGACTCAAACAAAAGTGCATGGGATTTACCAACACAAGCCCAGCTAAAAAACACAAGACATGTTTGTTTCCAGCTAGTATGTCTATGATAAGCCATAGATTGTCACAAGAATATAAAACATAAGGATTGACATTGGTGGGTTTTACACAGCTAAAACTTTGCACAACACTGTGAACATGCACTGCAAAAAAAACCTGAACTACAAAAGAAGATAAACAGAGCTAAACCACAACCCCTCCTCAGCTATCTTCTGTGAAAGAAGGCGTGGCTGGGAATTTCAGGTGCTGGGCAAATTGAAACCAGCGTTTCAGACCAAACGACAAGCTTCTTGGCTTTTCTGCATGTAAATCAGATCCTTACATTATCTCAGTGTCATTTCGTGGCTGAAAGCAATTCAGCAGCTATCAGCACAGCCAGACTGAAATTCAGCAGAACAGGATCTGAGCCCTTCAGCTCACAATGATTAGATGATTCTGTGGAAATGACTCTTACAAAAAAATGAAGTTCAGCAGAAAACTGACAGTGTGTGAAGACCACAGAAGGGAGAGGAACTTTACAACTCAGCCTTCACATTTTCCACCTATAAGATTTCAACATTTTCTAAAGTTGTAGTAAGGGCAGCTTCATCACAGTGCTCCCTCTGGGAAATATCATATTCAGCAATTCCTGAATTACAGTTTCTAATTATATTTTCATACTGTAATGTTGTCTGAAATGCAAATTTGATGACAGAATAATTCAATCCATATAAAATAATTACAAAATTACTGTTTCTCAACCCTCAACTCATACTCCCCGCTATTTAATAAGACAAATTTAACAGCAGCAGAAGTACAGCCAAAACATAGTCTATTTTTTAAACTGTTATCTGACTACAACTGTCTGCATAGATTTTGGCTCACCACAGAAGATTATTTCTAAAATATGACTACCAAAAACATTCCAGAGTTAGTATTTTTTTTGCTTTAGCTTGGAACCAACAGTCAGGTCAACTTTTATTTTGCATTCATAGTACCCAACCCATGGCATATGTGTTTAATTGGAAAAGCAACTGTTGGTTAAAATGCCAAATCTCTACTGCAGCTCAGCTATCATTTAAACCAGTTGTTCCTGATGCTGATGCAGACATTAAATTAGCACAATGTAATGATTTTCAGCAGAGTGGGAATCAACTTCGGTAATAAGTAATTTAAGAACCTGAAACTCCATACTGAAACATCAGTTCCCACTGACAACTGCCACCCTCTACAGAGGATTTTATTCCCCCCATGAATATTGTCTAAGCATTCGCTAGGACCTTTAAAAAGCAGAAATTGCATTCTGTTTGAAAAAATTCAAGGAGTAGTGTTCTGCATTTCAAGGGGTTTTTAGGTTTTATTATGATTCTGGCCTAAATTTAGATTGTCACTGCCCATCAATTCAACCAGATCAAGGTAGAGCACACTGAGTGTGTTATTATTATGAGGCTAGAGGCATCAACAGCTCACATCTGTTTTTCATTTCCCTGCTGTATCCAGTTGTGTGAGAAGCGACTTGAGGAGATCTCAGACGTGACTTTAGCCAAGGTCTTTCCTAAGGTGAAGTGCTCCAATTCCTTGGGAATTGCTGGTCTGCTTGTCCTTCGCCATGGACAAGAGACTGCAGGAAGAGATCATCCTTTGCTCACGTGTGTGCAAAAGGGGTGACATTTTCAAATGGCATGAAGGCTGATAGGAAGTAGGAGGGTCAGTCTAGATGCCCCTAAAAGAAGGTGGAGTGCTGCCAAGCCCATGCGTGTCTCACCTTTCTTCTCTTCATGTCAGAGGATTTCAAGCCCAAGTGAACTGGTAGTGTCACAGCTGCAGCGTTGGGCAGAAGGTGAAGGATGGGCTGCAGCCACCTTCCCCTCTCAGTGATGGGAAAGAACCTACGGGCAGTTTGTTCTTTCCTCATGGTGGGTGGAAGCATGGCAGCACAGAGATGGTTTAGCATTTCATGGGATGCTTAGCATTGCATTGCCTGGCAGCTTCACACACTGCCTAGGTAAACCTGAGTGCTTGTGCAAAGGGTTTGGTACAGAGCTGACCAGTGAAAACCATGAAATCATCAAGAAGAGGCACATAGCCCCAGGATGACTCTCACACGCCATTCCCTGCCCTCCTGAGCAGAGATCTGTGTCATCTCCATTTGCAGATTCTGGCACTGCATGTGATCTGCCTGCCTGCAACTCATTCCCATCTCTGGGGCAAAATGGGTGGAGCCTGGTGATGGGATGCCCAAAGCCCCCAAAGACTCATCAAGAGGGGACAGAGCTGTCACTCTGACAGGCAGGATGCATCCCTGTGCAACCTCAGTGGCACTTACCAACTTCCCCTACAATACTGCCTCTCAGACCACAGCATGAACAGGACCCTTCTGCTAAAATGTAAAGCAGTTTATCATCCTTCACTTTAAGGTCAAGTTAGAGCCTTTTCAAGACTACCTCAGTATCACTAAAGAAAGATACGTCTATTCCATCTGGAGATGAGGAAGGTATTTCTAATAAGTAGCTCCTGAGCAAAAGTTGCATCAATTATATTTCCCTTTACAGGTGGCTTCAAGGCATCAAATGCTATAGGACACTGTATTCAAGCCTAAATGAATGAGCATAAGCCTCAGCCCACACTAAGCATCATCACTCAAGCCAAATCTGGGAGGTGACGGCAGCTACACATGGAGTCAAATCCTGCAGACATGAGGGTGAATAACTTCTCTTGAATGGCAGGTGCCACTCAGCTCAAATCTGTCCCCATACTCCTTGGTCCCTCTGCAGATTTACCCCAGCAGTATCAGCTGGTGAACAGGCAGACCTCAGAGGGTGGTGGGCTGTATAAACCACCTCCTGTCCTCCTCCTAGCCCACTCTGGGGAAGTCACACGCAGACAGAGGGGGATGGACTGCCATGGGCTGAAACACAGCTCCCCACAGCAGCTGGGGAGCAGCTGTGCCCAGGTGGGTCGCCCAGGCAGGGATGCCAGGAGCCCACTAACTCCCCGTGGCAAGGCTGCACATGAGGTGCCAACACCTCCAACGCTGCAAGGCTCCTGAAAACCTGGGCAAAACTCACCTGTGAGGAGCCAGGCGAGATTCCTCAGGCACTGGTGCAGTGGCATCGGGTGGAGAATTTTATAAAGACAATTTGAAATATTTCAGCCCCCCAGCAATGATGTTTTAGGGCATAAGAGTTGAACTGGAAAGAACTGGTGAGATAACACCAAGTGAAATGGTTTAGACGTTTCTGATACATTTATCCTTGTTCCCTGCTAAGAACGCCAAATGCAGTGAAATCCAGAGGACTTAGAGAAGTGCCTTCAGTTTTAATGCCTGTCTTGGCTCTCTTTCTGAAACAATTACTTATGCTGCATTTGATAATATTAGAATATTTTTTATAGATTTTTAAAAAATCTTTTACTGCTCTATGTTTTGAATTGTTTTGTAGTTCTACATCATTTTAGACCAACAGCTGCTTTAGAGAATCATTACCATTATTGATAAACCCTTTGAACTTCGAGGGGAAGGGAACAGGAGTATATAATTAGAGAAGATAAGAAAGATCTAACACACTTTTCCAGGAAACAATGCACATGATGCTTCAGCTGTAATCTGTTCTTAAAACAAATCTATATGTTCCCACACAAACAAACTCAGCCTGTGGCACTAAACTTCAGGAGCTCTGGGATATCCTTCCCCACAACAGCCACCTCAGAGTAAGTGCAATGGAGAAACAGACTCAAACTCCCTCTTGTTTTTACGTAAAGACACAAATAGCATTTCATTTTTCAATCACTGTAGTGATTGAAAATTCATGCTGCTCATGCTGCAGTTCTTTTTTTAGCTATTCTAGCTGCTCTCAATGCACAACAGAAAAAAAAAAAAAAAGAGAAAAAATAAGCCCTGTGTGTGTGCTTGTGAGAAAATGGGTGAAAGCCTGTGTTACGGCAATGCTGCTCTCTTGGCATATTTGAGATAATTTTTCAGGAAGGTTTCGATTCTTTCCTCTGTAAACACTGAGAGCGCCGCGTGCCCCAGGAGAGGGGCAGAAAGCCCGGGGAGCGCGCCGGGTGCGGGGACTCCGCCTGAACAAAGATGATTTAAATGCTCCAACTTTGAGAGTCGGATCTTAAGCTGTTCCCGGCTGCATTGACCGCTGGCTTCCCCCTCACTGGACACACGGGGTACAAACCCGACTGAACCGGGCAGCATTAAAAAACTACAAATTCCAGCAGCGGTATAAAAAACACAACGCCTAAACATCATTTCTTTTAACTCCCGAGCGCATTAGCCTAGGCTTACTCACATTCATTTATATTCCTAAAGTGTCAAATGAGAACGATATCATTTTATTCTCCTTTCATGGATCATTAATCTATATTTAACTCCGTTTTGCCGTCTACACACAGAATTAGTAACTGGAAGCTGCTTTGCATTTATCTGATAGTGCTGGGCTTGTTCATCAAGGCAAACTTCCAGCCAAAACAAACAAGTGAAAAAAAGAAAAAAAAAAAAAGTCACTGATACAAGCTGCTTTCTAGTCTATTTTTTTTTTTTTTTTAAAAAAAAAGGAAAATAATCCAAACCTGATGAGAACATAAAGCAAACGGTTACCTCGCACTGCAGAAAGGCAAGTTTTTAATAGTCCATGCTCCGGCAGCCCCGAGGTTGAGCGGCGGCGGGGATGTCTCCAGCATCCAGCGGGCTCCCTGGCTTTGGTGCGCGGCCGGGGCCGCAGGCTCGGCCCCCCGTGACGTCAAGGCGGCCGTCACATGGCCCGGGAGCGCTGGTTGTCCTGGCAACGCCAGCCCTGCTCCCAAATTATTTCAATAGGTCATCTGTCACACTGCGCGCACGCTGGAGCGCCCGGACAACCCAAACACCGCGGGCTCGTCCCATCGCCGACTCGCTCTTAACCCTGTCCCTGTAGGAAAACGCGTCGCTCTCCCTCCTGCGTCCCCAAGCTCCGGCAGAAAAAAAGACATTCTACACCTGGTTTGCCCAAGCAAAGGGGCGCAAGAGCTGCCCTCCGAGGATGCTGGGGCACCTAGCTAAAATTAGGGTCTTTCTAAATGACACACAGCTGAAGTTTTATTCATAGCCGCAGAGACAGATGCTTGGTCAGCCGCGTTTGCCCGGACTGGAGGCGAGGCATCAGCCGTGCAGGGCTGCGGGCTGGTCCCCAGATCGGCCTCATGTCCTTTAGCCGCGGTACCTGCTCCCTCTGCTAGCCTGCACCTGATGCTTCTCCAGCTGCTCCCAGCAAAACATCACGGGAAGGGGGACAAAGCAGCACATGTCTCCGTCTGATTCTGATTCACCTGTGCAGCCTTGTCCTGCAGGAAGAGATGCAACACCAGTGTCTCAAATTTCCTTGTAACTCTAGCTAAAATCCACTCCTTCCTCCAAATTTCCTTTTTTTCTCCCTCTCCACTTCACCTTACCAGAGCCCTGCATGCACATGCATGCACCAGGAGTAGGATACAGAAGATGCTGGAGAAGGGAAAGACTTTCACCTGTGAGAAGCAGGGAGGAAAGACAAAGAGCAACAAGAAAATACTTCTGAGCTCATCAGGTCTGGAAGAGTGGACAGTGAAGTGGAAAAAAAACCTCAGAAAACTGAACAGCAGATCTCAGAGGGTTGTGGTAAGCCAATTGCAAGAGGATATGGCAGAAATTGGTGTATAGAAATTCCACCTGAACAGGAGGAAAAGCTTCTTTACTTTGAGGGTGACAGAGCAATGCAACAGGCTGCACAGAAAGATTGTGGAGTCTCCTTCTCTGGAGCTATTCAAAAGCTTTTTGGATGCAATCCTGAGTAACATGCTCTAGGGAACCCTGCTTGAGCAGGGAAATTGAACTAGGTGACCTTCAGTGGTCCCTTCTAATCATTCTGTGAGCCTGGGATCAGCAACACCCAATTCTGCTTTACACAGCATTCAGTGAGCAGGACATCTCCTACACAGTTCACCAGCAGCCTCTCCAGCACCAGCACTGCACTGGGAATTTCTTGGGCAGCTGGTATTAGGGGGCAAAGCCCTTTGGGATCCTGAGCTGCCCCCTGAGCCTCAGTGCAAAGCAGTGAAGAGGGCTCAGAGTTATTACAATAGAATAAGGCAGTCTCCACTGTCTAAAACTCATGCCATAAAAAGAAGATATTCATAATTAGCTAGGAAACCTGTGACTGTTTAACAAAACAAGAATAATGTGATGAATTTAAAAAAACCCACTGATTACTGCATGTGTTGCACATAATCCCACATATTAATCCAATATAGAAGGCTGAAACTTCATGTCAACACCCACCAATAAAATTGTATCATAACTTACAGATGTATTCTTTCACTTAATGGCAGTGTTTGTACAATACTACATAAAGTTTGGGTTTGCAGTTTAAAAAGATATCTCTCAACACTGTGTAGTGCATTCCTTTCTATCGGTCTGACAAAAATGCATGCACCTGAGAGATTTTAATGGTTCTTAATTCTTCTAAAAGCCTCTTCACACAAGGGGAACACAAGCACAACACAGGCATTTTCATGGTCACAAAACATTCAAGAAAACCATTTTGCTGGATCCCTAAAGAGCTGGCAGAGATAGCCAGGCAGGATCATAGAATCATAGAATGGTTCTGGTTCAAAGGGACCTTAGAGTGCACCTGCTTTCAATCCCTCTGCCATGGGCAGGGACACCTTTCACTAGATCAGGTTGCCCAAATCCCCAGCAAACCTGGCCTTGAACACTTCCAGCAATGGGACACAAACCACTTCTCTGGGCAACCTATTTCAGTGTCTCACCACCCCCACAGAGAATAAATTCTTCCTAATATCTAATCTCAGCCTGCACTCTCAGTTTAAAGCCACTACTCCTTGCCCTGTCATTACATGCCTTTGTAACAAGTCCCTCTCCATCTTTCTTGTAAACCCCTTTGGGTACTGCAAGGCTGTTCTACAGTCTCCCCAGATCCTTCTCTTCTCCAGGCTGGAGAACCCCAACTCTCACAGACCCTCAAGGACCTGCTCTGCTCCTGTGTAAGTCTGGTCCTCCACACCTGCAGACACATGGCTATGCAGAGCTTCATCCTCCAGCATAAAGATAGCCCTTTCACTCACCTTTACAGGATATTTCTGCTGCAGTACAAGAGCTTAGAGGAGTTTTTAAACCATGCACAGTGTTTATAAGGGGGTACTAATTATATGTTGAGAGGGTTATAATTTTCATCAGCTGAAAGATGCTAAGTGAAAAAAATGCTCTGAAGAACATATGATAATGGCAGTTTAGGGTTGGATGTTCCCAGTTCCCAAGGCTTGGCAGAGCTTTCCCACACCTCCCCAGTGATGTGGCTCCTCCACAGGGATATTTTCTGAATTGCTGACTGAAATCCCTACTTCTCTGCAGTGCTTGGTGTGACTGTCAAAGCTTTCCAGGACCAGGGTCAAGGGAGACCTTACACCATGCAGACAGATGCAGAAATGAAAGCAACTGGACAGCATCTGTCCCTCAGAGAGCTGAGGTATCCTGCTAGAAGTGGCAGAAAAACCTATATTCCCTGAATTAACTTTTCCATGATAAAACCTCCAACATAAAAACAGCTTCCTCTACAGTTTCAATCAACCAAGCGAGTTCAAAGCAATGAGACATGGGCACTGAGAGGAAAAATACAAAACAGATATTTTATGCAGAGAAGGACTTGTGAGTGATGGCTGATCAAGAAGTCAAAGTGAACTGGCAGTCTAGAAAGCTTAGAGTAGTTTAGTTTAGTTTAGTTTAGTTCAGAAAGCTTAGGGCTTTTAAAAGTGTTTTGTTTTATTTAGTTTAGTTTAGATTAGTTTAGTTCAGCGAGTTCAGTTTTAGCTGTCAGCCCAGAAAGCCAACTGAATCCTGGGCTGCATCAAAAGGAGAAAATTAGAGGAGAAATAAGGGGATTGAACAATCATCAACTTGTAGTGCAACAAGGAAAAGTGTAGGATTCTGCACCAGGATGGGGCAACCCAGGATGTACAGACAGACTGGGGAATGAGAGGCTGGGAAGCAGCACCACAGAAAGGGACCTGGGGGTCCTGGTAGATGGAAGGTTGAATATGAGTCAGCACTGGATGATCTTTGGGGTTCCTTCCTACCCTTAACATTCTACAATTTATAATCTGAAGCCTGCTGAGAAACAAAGGCATTGCATCCATCTGGAACCATGATAAGAAGGCACTCCTCCTCCTCCTGCTACAGGAACATGATGCCTCCTGGGGAGACGTTTCTGTCATGCATTTGGGAACACCTCTGGCCCTCCCACCCCTCCAAGTCTGGGGCCCATGGAGGGAATGGGGGTTGGCTCCTTCATCCTTGGATGATGGACAATCTGCCAGAACTTCACTGACTGCAGCAAAGTGTGTCATGTATCATAATACACACACAGATATCTCAAATACCTAAACCTAGGGCAGACGTGCATCAGGACCTGTGTGATAACTTACACACAAATGCAGTACTACAAGGTAGGGCACCATCCAGCTTTCCCCCTCCACTTCTTTTGTCTCCACAGAGCTAACAATAGATAACATTTGTTTGCCCATAAAATGGAAGACATGCAGGGAGCAGAAACTCTATATGGGTTGATCTTTGAACCCACAAGACTAGATCCTCCCTGGCGTCAATCCCCGCTCTCAGGAAGGAGCCACATCCATGCAAGCAGCTGCGAATCTACTCTTGGCTTTCCTCTTATCAAAACAACACTTAGAAAGCGTTTCTTATTGGAATCTTCCCTCAAACGTCCACTACTTTTTACTGTTTTTAAAAATAAAAGGAAGGAAAAAGGCACTAGGCATGATTTTGATGTAATAAATATAAAGAACAAACCACATGTGTTTTGTTAGCCTCTGCAGCTTGCTGTTTGAAAGAGTGGCTAATGTTTCCATTGGCATTGGTTACATAGATAAAAAGGAGACAGAAACAGGGCTCAGCAAACTTGTCATGTTGACTTTTGCTCTTGTAGAAAAACAACATGGAAAAAACCCACAGGAAAAGACATTTTAGTTTTGATACAGCTGTCATGGCACTACTAGCACAGGGGGTTTTGAAACAAAAACAAGAAGAGAAAGTGGTTCAGCCCACCCTGTTCACTGATGGCGGCTCAGTGAAAGAGTTATTGTTTGAGTCAAATCAGGTGGAAGACAGTTTCCCAGGAATGCAGCACTGTAAGAAGATCGTACTCTCTCCATATATCTGTCATGACTCTTTACTGCCACTAATTCCTTCCCAGGGAGAGTGAAAGATTCTGCTTTCCAAAGCAGCAGTTCTTGTTTCCTGTACTGTACCAGTGGCTTTGGGGATGCCCCCAGCGCCATTCCTTAAGACAAGAAGGGAGACTCTGCGAGGGTGTGAGTGTCAGCAGTGAGGATCTGGTCCCAACAAAGGCCTCTGACAGCTGCTGCTGAGGGGTGGGAAAAGCTCTTGTAGTGATTTGCCTTTTTGTGACATATTCTGTAGAAAGGATCACTCAGTCTGCAACAACTTTTCTGGCACTTGAGCCTAAATAATGCCATCATCTATCCTTGGGCAGTATTGCACTGATTGTTTTTACTGCTGAGATGTGCAACAGCTTATTTCAGAGGTTTTCCTTGCACCTGCTTCCTCATAGGAATTGATCACTTTTGGGGCTTGTGCATGCCTCCTGCATCTCCTCCCCTATGCCAATGCCTCTACATCCTCTCCT